GTTGATGCATGTCATCATATCCTAATTGCGTGGATTGGTGCTCATGATGTCAATCACTGGATTGTCTGGTCCAGACTCAATTATTTACAGACCACCATTTTAAAGCTGGAATATTGCGGAGTGCTGTGTTAAGCAACAAACAAACACAGATAAGTAGGCCCTGGGAGATTGAAGTGACTGCATCATGATACACAATGAATTATGACACTCCTAGCATCAGTGCTGTGTATTTGCTGAAGATTTGGTTTAGAGTGACTTTCCAGCTTGTACTTAAGCTTAGTCAGCATGATCACAACAGTGATTTACAAGTTCAGGTTACTGTAAATCATTCATTTCATTTTATTAAAGCAAATTTATTTCGGCTATGATGGGATGTAACAAATTACAAAATGTACTTTCTGTAGGGATGAGGACAAACGAACCTGGACATTGGTTTATTCCATGATTGAAATGAATATGTATTTTTATTATATACATTTAGCATTGCATCTAAATAAATAGTGCTTCCGTATTCAAATGGCATTGCTTGATGAATACCCTGGATTTTTCATTATCAGATTTGTATATTTCATATCAACTGAGGCAGTAATTTTGTTTTTATTACTTAAGGGTTTTGCTAATTAAAAAAATAAAAAATAAAATATAATATATGAAAGGGCTTATTTTGCTGTGTGACCCCTAAAATGCTCCAACACTTAACCTGAAAGAACAGCCAAACAAGAGGTTGATGAATATCATCACATGGCAACATCTTTTGAACAAAAAATAATCTGAAATGTCTTATTTTAATATTAATTCTCCCCACGTACGGCCCACGATTACCCAACACAAGAAATAGAAACGTTTAAAGGAGAGCATATAAAAAAAGGAAAATTGATTTAATCTATTGAGATAAGTTTTAAATTGAAAGATTGAGGCTTAATGGAACCTGAATCTAGAAGTTTTGTGGCCAATTCAGTTACTCTGTCAAATCTTTATGTTTTTGTTCGAGAACGTTTTGTTCCTTCTAACCGGAGTCGTAAGGTATCATGTAGAGTGAACATATGTTTAGTATTGAGGAACTAAAATTGTACCAGGATGTAGCCAAGTTTCCTCCCTGAATCCGACATGCACAGCAGAACACAAAGTCTCCTCAGAGACACGTAAAAAGCACTTTTAACCCTTTTATAACAACACACTGTGACAATATCCCTAGACTGACATTTAGACCCAGGAATAATGTTATCATATTTAAACATAAATAAAATCCAAATGGAGCCCAGAACAATCCTTACCTAGAGCTGAGGCAATCTAGACTTGCCAAATCATTCTAGATTGGACTACTATTGTAATATTTTTCTCTAGGGTCTGGGAGACAGACTACAATATCCCTGATAAAAAGCTTCAGTCTTACAGTAGTACGTGTACTCTAAGAGAGCTACATCACCCCCGGAACCAAGGAGTGGTTGGCCGAACCAGTGACCAAGTGAGAAGGGTATTGTACCCGACTCCTAAGGTTACATATATCTGGCTTTGGTTGACTGCCCACTGAATTGAAAACCAAGCCCCAAATCCGGTTCACCAAATTGTTACAGTTCAGGTGTGGAAATTATGTTAGTTTAATACAAATGTTGCTAACTCCCCCAGCAACAGTGTATTCTTGAAGTATGTTATGTAAATATTTGAGGAAATCCATTCAAGTGTAGTCAGTATATGGGCGCTATAGAGGACCAAGTGTTTGAAGGACGTTCAAACCTGAATATTTGTAGTCCTTTCAATGATGTAAGTTTTCACTGAACCCAAAATAAACTATTCTTCAGTTTATTTCCACATGATTAGCACCATCTGGTAGAAAAAAAGTTGTTTTAAAAGTAGTTTTAGGTGTGAATATTGACAGTAATTTATTGACAGATGCTGTTTCTTCTGATCAAATTATTCCTGATATTTTGTACATATTTTCTGATTTTCAAGTATGCAAACACAATTTACTGGTAAATCAGTTTGCATTTATTCCACCAAATATTATTTTGTGATAATCTTTTCTATTTTTGTACAATTTTATACAATATTAGTCGTTTTTAATCATAAAAAAATAGATATGTTATTATGTATGTCTCAGTTCAGGAAATTGTTTTTGTATGTCAAAGAATTATCAAGATTTTGACAACCACTAAGACGGGACTATTTTCATCAACCACATATCCTTTCTTAAGTACTTCCCTCTAAACTTTAAAAACAAGGATATAGCACAAGGTGGTGAACAATGATCTTAAGAACTCAGTATTTGTGTTTTAATGTACATGATGTATAGGTGAAAAAATATTTATTATTACACTTACAAGTCAAGTGAAAAAGTAAAAAATTCAAACTAAACCAAGTCTAGTTTCTTTGATTCCACACAGAAGAGGAAAGGTTTTTTTGAAGAAAAAAAATTTACAATTATTTTAAAGAATTTTTCTCACAGACTAAGTGTTAATCTATAACGATGTTTTAAGAGGCTGTTAGTATCAGCTGCATATGAAACATGTTTGTTCTTATCACAATTTCTCTACGGGCCAGAGACGAACTTATCACAGATTTATTCTGTATACATAGTCAAGCCTCGTTTTCCTTGTATGTACCGATATCTCGAACCAATTCTCAGGTCCAAACGCCTAGCTATATTTCTATCATGCATCGTTATCTTGAATGTCTGGATATCTCCAAGTTACAACATGGCCCAATAAGTTCGAGATAGCGGGGTTCGACTGTATACGTGTGTATTATAAACTTTGCCTAAGCTAAATATGGTGATCCCCTCTTTCAGGACAGTTTGCTATCAATTGTACTCTTCTCTGTTGATATCTCCTATACATTGTTTGTACAATTTGTATGATGACAATATCCGCTTATGCTTCCACTCAGACTTATACATGACTAGTTGTAATAATGAATGGAAGTCTTATAAAGTTTTGTTCAATAACATTCCAATATTCAAGTGCTTGGATGAAACAATAAAAGATTGCTTGTGAGTAAGTGTTTGTCTTCATTCTAGATGCCTCTCGTCACCGAGATCTGAAAACCCTCCACGTGAACCTTCTAATCAAGTAATCCCAGTGACAGTTTCTTAATTTGTGGTATGAGCGAATTGCTTATTTGGAGCATCATATCTGCTTTCTGTATCTTGAAAACAAACGTAAATAGGCAGTTCCAAATGGAGACTAATAAAGGCTGTACTCAATATAATATGAATATTTTACATACTCTTTTGTTTCTGACCACCATTGCATCTACACCCATCACACTTTACTATGATTGTTAGTTTCTTTGTTGTTTAACCCCGCACTCAGCAATATTCCAGCTATATGGCGGCGGTCTGTAAATCATCAAGTCTGGACCAGACAATCCAGTGATTGACGTCATGAGCATCAATCCATGCAATTAGGATACAATGACGTGCAACCAAGTCAACCAAGTCAGCAAGCCTGACCACCCTATCCTGTTAGTCGCCTCTTACGACACGCACAGTCGCCTTTATACGGCAAGCATGAGTTGCTGAAGACCTATTCTACCCTGGATCTTCACAGGTCTGATTTACTATGAAGGGAACAAATGTTCTGTGTGGGTTTCCTTTTGTTCAGATCGAAAAGTCCAAATAGAGGTGGTAAAGGAATGAAGTGTAGAAAGCAGACATCTGATTTGGTAAAGAACCCACGCATCCTTAATTTTGAAGGGTTGTAAATTTTGCTCGACTTGATGGGAAGAAGTATCCAACCTGAGTACAAGATCGGGTTTTTATGAGATTGCATTGTGCTGAGTGCCATCTTTTGTCTAGGATGGTAAGATGGTTCATTGTTGGCGGGATCCGTTGAAGGGAGCAACAATTTGACTTTTAGGGAGGAGGAGAAGGGGCTGGGATTTTGGGTTGAAATTAGCATTTTCATTCCCCTGACTTAAAATGGGGGCGGTATATAGTTAATTCTGTCCATCCATTTGTTCTTCTGAGGACATTTTTGTGTGCGACCTATAACTTGAAAACTACTACCTAGATTTGTTTCAAACTTGGTGAACACTTTTTATACCTATAGGTATGGTGCAGTGCGAAGTTTGATTTCAATGTTTGGATTTAACAAAAAATACTGTAAAACCCAAATATAATAATAAGGGTGATCTAGGACCTGAACCAATAACGAGCGGATCCTGGCATGACTAAGGGAGACAAACAACAAAGAACAGTATAATGTCAGACCAGATGGCCAGTCAAAGCCAGCTTTAGGCAGACAGCTTGTTCACACATAGTTGCCATGAGCCTCTAGTTTCTGATAGCTAAAAATATGATTCAATTCAAAGGCATCTGAAACAAGAAAGATGCAGGAAAGGTTTGTGTATTTACTTAAGATGACCTATCTGCCTGCCCTGCCTTATCAGCCCACAACACAAGGATGTAGAATAAGCCGTCCTCAGTAATCACGATCTGGCCACAAGCAGGAAGCAATATGAGGTTGCAAAGTTGAAAGTGCACCACAAGTTATCTTCTCCTGCCAAAGCTTTGTTCTGTCAACCAAGTCACCCAGCCTTGAAACCCAATCCAACTTGGCTGCCTAATGAGCGCTGAGGAGTGAGTGAGAACATGGGCTTCATGCAGCTTTCATCACAGTGTTTCATCAGTGTGTATCACCTTGATATGGGAAGAAAGCCTGGAGTGTTCAGATCTGATGTTTGCTACATTAGTGAGAACCTTGGGTATGGTGCTGACAAACCAAGGATCAAAGGTGAATCTGGGATTTAAACACACAATCATAGGATCCTGGTATGCCTAAGGGAGGCAATAAATGTTGCTTTGATGACCAATTCAAAATTCTGCAGCTATCCATTAAAATCTCATCAAACAAGCATTTCAACAAATAGTTTTCATGTCTTCTTAGCATCAATAAAACAAGGCACTTTTGGGTAAGACAAAAATATTTTTTTGTACCATGGTCGACTTGGTATCATTAAAAGATGTTAATTATAATGAGATTAAAGAAAAATGCTGACTAGAGTTGGGTTTGAGGTTAATATCATTATTAGAGTCAGTAATGCTTGAGAAGTCGTCAAATTCTTCTGGGTCTGAAGATTGATCTTCTCTGGTGTCCGACCTCTGCCTTGGATCTGCAAACATCGTCAGCGGGTGGGGTATTTGTGTCCAGGTCAGGCAAGGTCATGTCATCATCAAAATCCTCCTCCTTCAACTCAACACTGACTTCATTCTGAAGGAGAATTATATACATGACTAATTCACAAGATACAAGTGTAATATTGTTGTACTTGATGTTACTACTGCTGATAGGACACTTATATAAGGGACTGTGCTCAACAGGTGTTCCTACGCAAGTCACATAGGCCGTAAGTATCAGACTAAGTTGGTTATGAACATGTCTACCCTAAATTTTGCACAAGTACAAAAAAAATGTACCGTTATGAATATTTCGACCCCTTACTAATTCTTGATATTTTATATATTTAGAGGAAAACAAGGGAAATTTCATTTGATTGAAAAGGCATTTTCAAAATAAATTATTTGTTATGTTTATCACAAAGTCATAAATACAGCGTTAGAAATTGGCACTAGTCCTGTAGTCCTTACCAAACTGCCCAATAGTAAAGGCATCCTAAGGACTAGTAGAAATTGGCCAATTTTAAGGGTTTTGCTATATGTTGTCATTATAAGGACTAGTGGATAAAAACTGTTATTCCTAACCCTGAAATAATATGATATGATTATAAAGTTATCAATAATAGAAAACTTTTCTTTTCTTCATATCTGAACACCATTTAAATCCTCTCAAATGTTTCTTTACCATATTGGTAAATATTGACAACATATGGCCTGAATATCAGTTGAGTGTATTTATCATGCCCAGTTTTGTCAAGCAAGATCAGCCATTTAAAGATACAATTAACTGGCTGTAATAATAATAATAATAATAATGAGGATGATGATGATGATGATGATAATAATGATGATGATGATAATAATATTAATGTTTTGCTGTATTTGTTAAGTTGTCTTTCTGACAAATATTAATAAGGTCTACATTTAATTTCATCAGAGACCATAAAATAGAATTTTTTTTATAAAAACCAGTATAGATGCTCTTGATAGGCTAGCTTGGTCTATTTCAGCTCAACATGATATTTTGCAGACTTTTGTGTAAAACAAATTTATGGGTAATGATTCATTTCATAGACTCTAGATCTCTTTGTCAATCAATGCATAGAGTGACAAGTCTATGCATGGCATAATGACAGGTGTTAAAAAGGATCGAAGGAATAAGCCTGTTGGGTCCTGTTATAAACCTCAGTGATCGGATGCTGTTGTTCTCAGACGCGGTTATTTCTTGTTAGGAAAATCAAGTGAAAGTACCTGTAACTGCAAACCAGATATTGAAACAGTATTCCTTATAGAGCTCTAGTGATACAGTAAATAAACTATGTACAGCTGTATATATCCACACCATCATATAACTACAACCCTGAAATGCATTCATTAAAATTCATTAAAAATAGTAACCTTGAGCTTCATCATATTAGCTCTCTCATGCTTGGGTCAAAACAACCCAATCTGAACAGCCTCGCCACATACAGCTAGGGGCCTTGCTTGGCAGGCTGTGCAGAAATCTATAAATAGCTCTCCCAGCTGGGAAAGTAGGTCAGTCATATCACCCATTAATTTGCTCAGTGGCAGCATGTAAGCCTCCATAGCTCAGTGGTTAGAGCACTGGTCTTGTAAACCAGGGGTCGGGAGTTCGATCCTCCCTGGGGGCTGGCTGGTCTGTTTTTGAAAAAATGTTTTTTTAAATACTTTTTTGGCTAGGCAATTATATTTTAAACAGGTTTCTTGGTAAATTTGCTAAAAAGCAGAGGAAACAAATATTTTTCCTAAAACCTTGAAAAATTATATTTTGAAAAACACAAAAAGAAATAGTTTATAAATTCTATCACAGCATTTTATTTTTTGTTTCCTTTTAAAAAATTAGGGTGCTGGTTGGCTTTGATCAATGTTAAAGAAAACAAATAGGACTTATCTTACCAAGTCTATTTACGAGTGTGATCAGTTACTCCCCAGGAATACAAGGTTTCCAGTTGAGATATAAGATCTCTATCGCTGCTGATCTCTCTGGATACAAGCCCTGTGGGGATTCCAGGTTAGAATGGGTTCCCCATACAACCTGTGCTGTGTGTAAGAGGCGATGTAATGGATTTGGTGGTCGGACTTGGTGACTTTGCTGATTAGTGATTACTAGTCGTCATATCCCAACGTTTTCTCATAATTATTAATATCATTCACTGAATTGTCTGATCCAGACTCGATAATTTTCATGGGCCGTTGTCATATAGTTTGAATATTTGGAAATGTGGTGTTAAACCACCAAAAAACAAACATATACTATACCAGAGACCATAAAATAGATTTTATTTTGACTTCCACTTGTGACGCCCATGAAATATTCCTTCATTTCTCACTGAGTAAAACCTCAACTTATTAAACATATGATATTGGCTAATTAGAGAATAACCAGCTCGCAAACTTGAATTGGAGATGATCTGTCCTGAGTTATTGAACTTTGAACCTTTAGACCTTGGTGAGTACTGTTCACATAGGAAAGCTCCTTCCCAGTGCGTGACACCTTCTTGACACTATCATTATACTCTCAGTAACAGCAGTGTGGGCGTGGACATTATAAGAATCGTGAAATTTGGCCTCTAACCCCAATGTAGTAACGTTCATACTTTGTGTTTATGTCTTTGGGAATGCCATCATATTTCATTTTGAAGAGGTTTACGACTGACCATGTTTTCCAGGTGAATTTACTTTGTTGTTTGTATAATCAGATTGGGTCGAGATTGCAGACAAACGGAAAATCAACCAACTACCCCCTTACATTCTTACTATATCTATTACCTGATTGTTTTAACAAAACAGGAATTCAAATTTACAAAGAAAGTTATTTAGCAGCAGTAAGAGTATTCGGTGTCACAACAGTCGTCACTTGTTTGTAAACATAATGGTCATTCAGTTGCGAGTTCAACTCCAAGCATGGTTGTGGCCACCTATCACAGTGGGGAGTTTTGACTGGTGGCAGTGATAGTAGAGGGAGCTCCGCGAATGGGCTATTGCTGTGAGGAGCATGATCACATAGGATCACATAGGATCACATAGGATCACATAGGATCACAAGGGACATAATCAATATTTCTGTTTTTAACAAAAGTTTGCAGATTTCAAACATTTTATCTTCTCAGTTTAGCCTGCTGAAAACTGACGACAAAATGTTGTTTTGTTTCTGAAGATGAAAAACAAATAGTCTGAAGATATATATATGTGAAATATATGTGAACAGACCAATCAGATATGTGATACTCATACAGGTTTACCTTCTAAACATCAAATTTTCTGTAAATATGAAAAAAATGTTTCTCATGTTTTAATAAATCTCACCTCTTTAACAATGTGAGAAAAGTTGGAAACACAAAGTCGGTTGCTTGTGCTGCTTGGAGGAATGGCGTCTTGTGGCTGGAATGTGAAAAACAATAAAACCAACAATAGTCCTCAAACATGTTTGTTTGTTTTGTTTGTTTGGTGTTTAACGCCACACTCAGCAATATTCCAGCTATATGACGGCAGTCTGTAAATAATCGAGTCTGGACCAGACAATCCAGTGATTGATGTCATGAGCATCGATCCACACATTTGGGATACGATGACATGCATCAACAAAGTCAGCGAGCCTGACCACCTGATCCTGTTAGTTGCCTCTTACGACAAGCATAGTCGCCTTTTATGGCAAGCATGGGTTGCTGAAGACCTATTCTACCCTGTATCACGGGTCTCCTCAAACATGCGTATTAGTGCACACCAGTTTTTATGATTATACTTCCATAAATGCAAATAATATTGAAGTAACTTCTTAAATACACAGTGCCAGTCTGTAAATACAAGCGACAAAACCCTTTCCATAATCATAAGAAATCTCTGCCAAAAGCAGCGTTGATTTACAATTTCGATAATATCAAGAGCATTTGTTTATGAATCACTATCAAATAGTGATGACACCAGGTGTTCACAATGCTTCAACTGCACCTATGTACCTATCTTTCTTCATGGTATGGGTGTTGGGGTAGCCTCGTGTTAAAGCATTCGCTTGTCACGTCAGTACATGGGTACAATGTGTGAAGCCATTACTGAAGTCCCCTGCTGTGATATTGCTGGAAGCGGCGTAAAACTATAATCACTCACTCCTTCATGGTGTGCTTCTAGAAACTCTCATGCCATGTATGTCAGTAGTGTATTTCATATAAAGTGCAACATATCAATTATTATGTAAGTAATAGTGTCCCGATTAAAAGTTAAATAATTTAAAAAAAAAAAGTTAAATTCTAAATCAGGTGGAAGTTCTTTTGCTGTAATGCCTATATTTCAAGATTAAATAGCAAAAAAAAAGCACTTACTCACCTTTTTTTATTTTTATAATTTTTTTTTATGATTTTATTTCTTTTTGGAGTACACAAACAATATGTTTACTTACTCACTTACTCATCTTACTTATTATTTCGAAACAGAAAAGTTTTAGACGCCAATTTACTTACGTAATATGCGTTGAGTGATTCACGATTGTTACCTAAAACTCACACAAGACACTGTTTGAGGTGTTGTATTGCAATTTCAATAACATCAGACACCAAATATGATATTAAGTGAATACTTGCCCATGTCTATGGTTCCAACATAGGGGACTCCCTCACATAGATTCAGATTCTGTTCATTAACGGGGAGTTGGAGTTGACAAGCTAGTGACAATTTCGAACAAGAATCCCCACAGGGTAGGTACACTTGTGTGTTTGTTGTTTAACGTCACACTCAGCAACATTCCAGCTATAACAGCAGCCCGTAAACAATCGAGTGTGGACTCTGGGCCAGACAATCCAGTAATGATACTGAAACGTAAAGATCCGGGGTAGAATAGGTCTTCAGAAACCCATGCTTCCCGTAAAAGGCGACTATGCTTGTCGTAGGAAGCGACTAATGGGATCAGGTGGTCAGGCTCGCTGACTTGGTTGATGCATGTCATTGATTCCAATTGCGTAGATACTCAAGATGTCAATCACTGGACTGTCTGGTCCAGACTTGATGATTGACAGACCATCATCATATAGCTGGAATATTTCTGAGTGCAATGTTAACAAACAAACACTGAAAAACACAAACAAACAAATAAACAGAAGTAATTGATATTGTGAGCAATGATTCATGTCGTCGGGGTACGATGACATGCAATCAGCCAGGTCACATGACCACCTGATCCATCTGATCACTTCATAAGTCCAGCATGAGTTGGGGACCTACTATAACCTGGAATCCCTACGGGGCAGATATACAATTGTGTACCTGTGGCTTGTATGCATCATTATAATGTTGCTGACGTCGCTGTTGCTCATGCTGTGTCTGTTGTTGTTGTTGTTGCACTGCCTTCAGTCTCAGCTGCTGTTGCAGGCCGCTCAGCTCTGTCTGGAGTGACATGCACTTTGCCTCGAGTTGCGTAGATTGTAATCCCTCCAGTTCTTGGTGTATTCTGGAAAGAGCATGTTGCAACCTGATGATTGGTGAGGTGAGGTGAGGTGAGGTGGCACAACAAAGGACAGTGAATATGATTGGTTCTCCCATGCCTAGCCAACCTGTACTTCTTGTCAAATATCACATCATGGCTGAATGTGAAACTTCAGTATTTTCAGGCAATAACCTCTTTACTTTGAATTTTATTTCCAAACACTGTAGTTGTATCATAACGTGTATTGTCATATGACCCTACCACCAATTTATACATATCATCACAGTTTTTATAGATTTTTTTACTTTTTGGCATAAGGCCTATTTCCCCTCCCCGGCCTAATGACCCGGGGGAAAGAGGCCAGAGGGGTAGTAGGCCAGGGGGGACTAGGCCTAGACCCTTATTTTTTCTCTTCTTCATATTTATTCCTTCAAGATTTTATTGGGACAGAGGTGTCCAAGTAGACCAAGCTGGGTAAATTCTGTGTATGTGTAGAGTTGCATCTTTTATGATCACGAGTTTGACTTCCAGCCACAGGGTCCATAGGTTCAAATCCATGATATGGTCTCCAGGTAAATCAGCACCATACCCTTTCTCATGGGTTTCACCAACGGTGTAAACATAACTTCTGATTTTCCTCCCACATTAAGCTCCCAAGCCATCATGTTACAGAAATACTCCACTGTGTTAAATCAAACAAAATCTCACTACTTGCATCTGATGATTTATTAAATCTTCATTGACACTTTGATTGCCAGCCCAGGAAGACGAATCTTAGCGATTACTGCAGGAAGTATGTCGTGCAACAAGTAGTGTTGGGTGCAGGCCATAAATGGCAGAGGAAGAAAGTCATGTTGAGCTTCTTCCCACAAAATTTTGACTACTGAACTTTTTAGTTTTACTTTTCCCATTGTGAATACAATTGTTACAGAACAAACTTAATGTATTCAGTCCAAAGAACACTGCTTGCTATATTATCTTGAACCAAAATACAAGAAATGACATACATCCACGGCCTGTTACATCTTTCATGTTCAAATACGTTTCAGATTTTTTATCAAGAGTGACTGAAAGACTGAAAGAGATGGGTTTAATGAAGTTTTGAACAGTATTCCAGCTATACTACGGTGTGTCAGCTTGATGTGGGAAGGGGGGTCTAGACAAATCACTGTGATAATCATCATTATCAAAATAATATTCCAAGATATCACAATGAGCAGCCAACTGAGGCCTTTTACAAGTGCAGGCAACAGTGGACACATGAAGGAAGCAATTTAGCAAGGACACTTGGCATATCAAGTTCCATACCTGCGCTTGTAGACCTCTCAGGCTGGTTGGATTTAGTTGAAATAAACTGTAATTTTACTTTGTTTCATTTTGTCACTGTGTCAACTAGAGTAGCTTCCCTTTGATAAAGGGCAATTACTCTAGTGGACAGACCTAGAATGCCAATCACTGACTAAATTATTTTTGTGCTTTTAAAAAATACTTTTAAAACATATAAACTTTGCCTATGGATGTTGAGCTATTGTTTCAGTTGGAACTATATTAAGTGTGGTTACTGTCTAACTGACAAGCTTGCAACATAATATATTAATGTGCACATTCCAGGAACACATAATGTGACAGAGAGGTTATCCCAGATGAGTTTTGGTAAATATCCTGTATTAGGTGCTTGCCAAGGCTCACTAAACCACATTTTGAAAGTCTAATTAATCCTGCAGACTTTCAGCCATGAACACTTTTATACAGTGTATGTTCAGTTAAGCTTACAACTTTGTGTATTGTAAGTCACATTTACAATATAATACCCTGCATCGACATACACTTTAAACTCCTCCCCGTTCAAAGGAAGGCCTGCTACTTGTGACTTCTCCGTCTTAAGTTCTTCAACCAGCTCTTGGGCAGCACTGATCTTTTGCTCAAGCTCTACAAGGAAGAGTTGTAACATTCTTCAATCTGCCAACAAAACCATATCTACTCCTAGCAGAACACAAAGCGCCACACATAAATCCTGAACATCAAGGTAGCATTTGGAAACATTTAGGAATGACATTGATCTCATTGTATTCCACGTCAAAAATACCACCAATACCTGATTGAAAAATTGGTAAGGGAACACTGCATGTTCTTTAAGGGGACTGTTTGTTTGTTTGTTTGTTTGTTTGTTGTTTAACACTGCTCTCAGCACTATTCCAGCTATATGACAACAGTCTGCAAATAATCGAGTCTGGACCAGAAAATCCAGTGATTGACATCATGTCTCAGCATCGATCTACACAAATGGCATATGATGACATGCATCAACCAAGTCAGTGAGCCCGACCACCGGATCCCGTTAGTTGCCTCTTACAACAAGCATGGGTTGTTGATGACCAGTTCTTACCCGGATCCTCATGGGATCTTCACGATGGACACATGTTCTGTATTTCAAACTGAGTCTCATGTTGCAAGCATTTCACCAGATGTATATATGCCCCATGTGTGAAAAACATTCACAATTTACATTCACAGATAGCTGTTTTTCAGACAATGGTTGTGAAAAGTTTATGCAGGCATGCAAAGAAAGTGCTTCCTAGTATAACTTTGTGTGTGACAAATTTTTGCTTCCTTGTCAGAATTCTTGTCACTGGGTATTTTTACAGGCAAAACACAACCTGAGCCAGGAGGATACATTGTATATTCATTAAGGACCTACCTGCCAACTGAACTTTGGTTTGTTCCAAAATGTGATTTGCATGGTGTAGCTCTTCTTCCAGTGTCTGGGCAGCAGACTTTCTAACCTCATACTTTTCCAGTTCTGAGTGGACAGTATACACATCATTGATACAATTACTCATGAGCGTCAAGGCATCCTTTGCCCTAACGTCTAAAAGACAAAGATTTAGGGATTCTAATACTAGCTTCATGATTTACAATGGCCAATAGGGTAGTAGGTAGCTTTTTTTAAAAAACAACCTGCAACTATGTTCATGGTGTTTTGTTGATAAGGTGAAATTAACATTATGTTCAAGATTATTGCACTCATATAGTGACATGCAGGCAGATGATGATGTGAGTGTGGATGCATGTACTAGTCAATTATTTATGGTGGTTTTATTGCTCTAGCCCAAAGCAATACAATTTTCATGTGGACTCTTTGTGTTCTCTCTCTCTGAGTACCACAGAAAAAAGGTGAAACTAGATAACTTTTTTTAGGCTTTAGCAATCCACATGTCGAAGCTCTATTACGAAAAAGGTCTCCTTATACCATACATCATACAAAGCAGGGGTGAGTGAATGAGTGAGTTAAGTTTCATGCCAGTTTGATCGGTTACATCACGGCATGTCAGCTTAATGCTAGAGGAAAACCCACAGTGACGCAGGTCAATGACGTGAACCACTTTGGTGAAAGCCCCTATTATGGGTGTGACCAGTCATCACGTACACAGCAGGAAGTATCACTAACTTGTTGGGATGTGCGGTTTTATCAGTATACCGGTATATTGCAATACAAATTCATCACGATACGTATCGCGATACGTTTTTGGCGTATCGGTTTTTCCCTCATTATTCAAACTGTGACTGACATGTATATGCCATGATGTATAGTCTTACCTTATTAAATCAAAACAAAGACAAAACAAATGCTTCACACTCCTTATTTGATTGTAGATAAAAATAATAGTACAATTTATTAAAATTGGTTCATAATTTTGACCAAATTGTTAACATTGCAGCTTTCATATTAATATTTGTCAAAGGGATATGAAAAAAAGCTTTTATCTTGGTAGAAATTATATCCCAATATATTGCAATAATATTGCAATATGTTTTTGAAATATTGCAATATATCGCAATACACTTTTTGGTCCAATTCCCAACCCTACTAACTTGCTATTACCACCAGTCCGAAATGTTCAATTCTCTCATCACGTAGTTGTTTGGGAGTCTTTACTGTCCTGACATATTGAAGGCAAACACGAACAGTTTATCTCGATGCTTTCTTACTTTCTAATTCATTCCCCACCTTTAGTGAGTTCGTGCACCGGTTCCTCTAGCTGTTCAGCTCGTTCCCGAGCTTCCTTCTCCCTTCTGGCTGAACCTGAGCTGAGCAGGTCGTAGTCCTCGCTGAACAAACTTGCTTCTGTGCTGAACCCAGACATAGCATTCAGCAGCTCAGTCTGAAGCTCCTTCTGTCAATAGTAGAGACTTGGCATTGATGAAAGGGGTGGGGTCTTGTTGCAAGGGCTGGGAACGGGTGGTGTGGGAACGGGTGTTGTGAGATAGGATGTTGTTGGATGGACTAGGCTAGGGTGGTGTGGGATGGACGGCTAGGGTGGTGTGGAATGGGCTGTGGTGGTGTGGGATGGGCTGGGCTAGGGTGGTGTTGGATGGGCTGGGCTAGGGTGGTGTTGGATGGACTGGGCTAGGGTGGTGTTGGATGGACTAGGCTAGGGTGCTGTGGGATGGACGGCTAGGGTGGTGTGGGCTGGGCTAGGGTGGTGTGGGATGGGTTCGGCTAGGGTGTTGGATGGGCTGGGCTAGGGTGGTGTGGGCTAGGGTGGTGTTGGATGGGCTCGGCTAGGGTTTTGGATGGGCTGGGCTAGGGTGGTGTTGGATGGGCTGGGCTAGGGTGGTGTGGGATGGACTGGGCTAGAATGGTGTGGGATGGGCTGGGGTGGAGTGGGATGGGTTCGGCTAGGGTGTGGGATGGGTTGGGCTAGAGTGGTGTTGGATGGGCTGGGCTAGGGTGGTGTGGGCTGGGCTGGGGTGGAGTGGGATGGGTTCGGCTAGGGTGTTGGATGGGCTGGGCTAGGGTGGTTTTGGCTGGGTTGTGTTAGGGTGGTCTGGGCGAGGGTGGTCTGGGCGAGGGTGGTCTGGACGAGGGTGGTGTGGGCTGGGTTGGGTTAGGGTGGTCTGGGCTTGTGTGGTGTTGTATGGGTTATGAATAGTGTCCAGGCTAAGGTGCTGGAGATAGGGTGGTGTAGGATGGGCTGGCCTCGCCTAGGGTGGTGTGGGATGGGTTTGGGGTAGGGTGATCTGGGATAGAGTGATGGTGTGGGATAGGGTGGTGTGGGATGGGTTGGGATGAGATGATGTGGGATGAGATGATGTGGGATGGGCTGGGATAAGGTGATGTGGGATGGGTTGGGTTAGGGTGGTCTGGGCTTGTGTGGTGTTGTATTGGTTATGAATAGGGTCCAAGCTAAGGTGCTGGAGATAGGGTGGTGTAGGATGGGTGGGGATGAGATGATGTGGCATGGACTGGGATAAGGTGGTGTGGGATGGGTTGGGGGTTGGGTTGTGTGGAATGAAATGGTGTTGGATGGTCTGGGATGGGTTTGGATGAGATTGTGTGGGATGGGTTGGGGGTTGGGTGGTGTGGGATGGGCTGGTATAGGGTGGTGGTGGGGATTGGAGAAATGAAACGAATTTACATCTCCTAAGTGTATTTCTAAATAATGGGGTTAATAGAAATGAAAGAAGTCAGTAAGAAGTTACTAATCCATGATGAGTTTAGGATATTACATGTTCTTTGAAAACTCCTGGTCCTCTTGAGGCATGCATCAAAGAGATTCTTTCTTTCAAACAGGTATTGAAATTACAGCTAAAACGACCATGACGTTGTGTGCTGTATTCATCAACAAACTATTTTCGGGATGACAGGGATTTATCTAGGATTCAAAACTTAAAGTGCCCTTGCAGTGGTAGAAACTAAAAGTTTTATTCCACTAGTCTTCATAATGATCACACATAGCAAAGCCCTTAAAAACGGCAAATTTATACTAGTTCTTATGATACTGTAACTATTGGGCAGTTTGGCAAGGACTACAGGAAAAGTTGCAATTTCTAACACTTCCTTGGCAGGCGAATTGGAAAAAAAAAAGAATTTAGTTTTAAATTTGGATTTTTTAAGTTCGTATTTTCTTCATCTTCCTAAGGAAGGGAATCCAGATTCCACCCTTGCCAAACTTGGTTGGAATTTCGGAGTTATATTTTGGCTGGACTAACAAGTGTATGCATAGTCCAATCAAAACGCGTAACAAAATCGACATCCGGGTCGTAAACTGAAGTGCAGCTTTCGGTCAAATGAAGGATTTGCAAAGCATTTGAACCATGAACGAGGCGTCTACAGGTATTTCAAAATCTTTTCATGTTTTTAATCAAGGTGCTCAAGTATTTGATGCACAAGACCTGTTTATTACAATCTAGATCTTGACCATCAATCAGATTGTCTTGACTGGGCACAGGCATTTTGTGTGAAGCAAATGCAAGTGATATGACAGGTGAAATCTAATTGGTCAAAATGCGATACATAGTAGGGACATAACTTGTAATAGCCACTGCTGGCACAATGATTGAGCCCAGAAATTCCAGCCTAGTTTGGCAAGGGTGGAAACTGGACTTTTACAGTCAGTTAACTCCCTTGCCTCAGGAAGATGATTTTCTTAGGAATTTTAACATTTTATTTTTATACTGCATTTAATGCAGTAATGAAGAAGTAAGCATTAAATCCTCTTCCTCCTTACTGATCCTGTTATCAGTGAAGTGCAAGTCACTTCTACAAAGTCATAACATTAGTTATATATACATTAACATGAACTGGGAAAACTTTAATTCACACTTTGAATGATTAGTTGGTTGGTTGGTTTGTTGTTTTACGCCGCACTCAGCAATATTCCAGCTATATGACGGTGGTCTGTAAATTATCGAGTCTGGACCAGACAATCCAGTGATTGATATCATGAGCATCGATCAACGCAATTGGGTATTGATGACATGCTTCAACCAAGTCAGCGTGCCTGACCACCTGATCCCGTTAGTCGCCTCTTACGACAAGCATAGTCGCCTTTTACGACAAGCATGGGTTGCTGAAGACCTATTCTAATCTGGATCTTCAAGGGTCTGTTAGTGAGTAAATGAATCAGATGGTTCACCTCCTGAATAAAATAACACAGTTGGCATGGTCCGAGTTACTAAGCAGAACATTTTCAAACATGGTGGACTTTTTTGCAATTATTGTCAGCGCCTGCAAGTTTCAATGCAATCCAAATACCACAACATTAATACAGTAATTCTATCCTGCAGTATACAGGGTACTGGCCTACTTGATATACTGAAATAAGTTGAAAGAGGCCTTCTTCAAAAACAAAAACATTATTTCATTTTTTGAAATCTTAGAATGTTTACTCATTTTAGGAAAACCCAATAGAGTGAAGAATAGATGAGTGAAAAAATATTGGTTACCCAATGAAAAATGCTATGACCCCATTAAAATAGAAACCTGTGAGTAAAAACTCAATTGCTCAAAAAGTTATCTGGAGATCTCACAGGCTCAGTAACCTACCAACTGTGCTCTGACATGGTCACTCTCCGCTTCCAGGGCCTGCCTCTGCTCCAACAAGATGGCCTGCCTCGACGTGAGGAACGACCGCTTCAGCTCCTCCTGCTTCCAGTGCTGCACCTACGTACGTCGTGCCAGGCAAATCTCAGGGAAGTAACATGCTTGCACATATATATTTATACACATTCAAAAGACTATTGTGACAGCAAGGTTAAAGCTATCACTGGGGGGATGTGTGGCCCAGTCGTCCAATTTGCTGTGCAGAGTTGTGTCCCTTGAGCACGCCAGAAACCTATGGTTGTGGCTTCGAATCTCTGATTATGTTTCTAGGTTTGTCAGCACCATACCTGTGCTCGTGGGTTTCACCAAGGTGGTAAACGTCTAAGACCTGCATCACTTGGGGCTTTCCTCCCACATGAAGCTGACACGCTGTGATATGACTGGAATACTGTTGAATGCGGCGTTAAACGACTCACTCACTCACTAAAACTATCATAGTCCACAGTCAGGAAGGACTTGTGACATCTCCATATGAGCTACCACTTTTATCATTAGATAGGTAACTGTAACAGATTATTTTGGTTGGCTTTAAATGAAAATATAAATTAAATTTCAAATCTGGACTCTGAAGTGTGCTCAGTATTGCTTAGTGCTCCAGATTCTTTTTCCAGTGAGTGAGTGAGTGAGTGAGTGAGTGAGTGAGTGAGTGAGTGAGTGAGTTGGGTTTAACGCCGCTTTTAACAGTATTCTAGTTATATCATGGCATGTCAGCTTAATGTGGGAGGAAAGCCCCAAGTGATGCAGGTCTCAGACGTTACCACATCAATGAAACCCACGAGCACAGGTATGGTGCTGACAAACCTAGAAATATAATTTGGGCGAACCAGGATTCGGACCCACAATCCAGCCATTGAACATGTTGAGTATTTACTAATAATTAATAATTCCTATGGGTAGTTTTTTTTGTAAAAATAATTATGTGTATTTGTACACATACAACACAAAATTAATTGGGTAATGGTGATTTACCCTGCATATTTACACAAATAAGCAGCTTATCAGGAGCTCTGCTTAGTAGCCAATCTCTAAAATGGAAAACAACAAATTATTGTGGACTTTTTTTGCACAGTTCACAGTTTGGTAGCCATTTGGAAGTTCTTTCTTACTCATCACATGATCCTCACTTCCACACCGACAACATCATTTTCTAAGTTCAGTTTTTGAGAGACAACTGGAATGCAGTGATATCTGCAAATGATTGCTACCATTTGATAAGTGAGGAAATGTCAACACACAAGCTGAAAGGACTACACAGTTTCGGCTACTGTAAATTTTGTAAATGCGAAAAATGCGAGTGGTCTTTGTATGCATAGCAGCATTAATGAAACTTCGCATTTGTGTCTCACTTACTCGAATCAGTGAACTGTTCTTGGTTTAATTATTTTATTGCCTTTGAACTTCCTTTAAGCCAGTCAACAGAATAAACATATAAACTGTGTGTTGTTTTTAGGAAAACACTGTTTATTGTTTTTATTGAAATGCTTCACTCACTGCTTAATAAGCGGTGCTATTTGCTGTTTGATTGGATTAAGGTAAGGATATGTATGATTCCACTAGGGATGGGGTGGGGGGAGTCGCATTGATTTTGAGTCACATTTTTGGCTAGGGGTCAGCAGCTGTATTGATTCGGAGACACATATATTTCAACAATTACAGTATTTGCACACAAGCAACTCAAAATGTATTTGGTGATTGTGATTTATTTGGTGGATGTGACACTGATGCACTGTTTCTAGTCTGTCTCACAGTCCCTGAACTATATTAGTTTCCCTTCTCCCAAGCCATTCCTATAATGCTACAGCCCTATATGAAGCAAGGCTAGATTTTCCACAGGTTCCAGAATTTCCATCTTCATGGGGCGCATTTTCAGTTTAAATGGAGCAGACTTATGTTTTATTTATGTATGGGAGCTCATAGGCCCATGTGCATTTCAGTTATACATAGTAACACACAGTTGAGGCAATTTACATTGAAAACAATATTAAAGTATAATATTAGGTCTTTGTACTTAGTAATAGAGCTTCCTTCACATACTCAGCAACATTTCTGAGCATACAGTCATTTTTGCTATTTAAGAGAGTAAAGGTATTAATACATGGATTGTTATAAAATCTTACAGGAATATACATTTGTCTTAATGATTCGTAAAACAGGCAGACAAACACAAAATGGACTTCGTCCTGAGAAGAACCATTGTTACATAGCCGACAAAAGCATTGTGAATAAACACAATGGAGTTGTTTGTTTCTAATAAAATTATATATTTTCAGAGACTAAGCGTTAGTCTACACTGGTACCTTCAGTAATAGTTGTCCTTTAAGTCTCTTGTGTTCATCTTTGGACTCTTCCAGCTCTTCCTCCAAGGAGGACAGTTTCAACTTCACTATAATATACAGAATGAAGTCTCAGGCAGGACTATGATGAATGATATGGTTCCCTAGCCTACAGCTAAACAAAGTAAAGAAAAGTCACAACCCGTCAAAATTGAACTAGCAGATCTGCATGATCTGTGCAGTGGATAACAACAGCAGAGTGGAATGTTTGTTTGTGGGATAGAAAATTGCATTACCGTATTCGATGTAATAACCGCCCAGGGCGCTCTCAAAATTAGAAATAGGGGGCTCTTATTTTATTACTATTATGGTGAAAAAACATAAATTTCGTGGTTTATGCTGACAGCCTGAAATGTTTATGTACGGCAGATATATTTTTCCAGAATTTAATTGCCCATAATGAAGGGTGCTTATAACACAGGAGTGCGTATTGTGCACGAATAAATAAGTCTTGTGTACATTGATCAATCCGAAGGGGTGCTGATTGGGATTGTTCACTAGCCAATATATTAGCAAATATCGCCGTGGGCGCTTATTAGAGCAGGGCGCTTATTACGTCGAATACGGTATATTATATTTGGGGAATATTGTCGACTACAGCGTTTACTAAGAGTCATCAGGAGATGACATATCCCCCTGGTCTGGTGCTATTTGGAAATGGAGTTTGTCTACTTATACCCACTTTGTGTTCACTGCCACTGGATACCTTCAGTTCAGTGAATAAAAAATATAACGCAGGTCAGTACTTTTCAAAATCCCAAATCACCAAAAGGCACCTGTTCAACACTAGACTGAACTATTTCATCCAGAAATATTCAGTGGTTTGGGAGTTCTGCTCGCAAAACGAACACTACCCTCATTGTCAGTCAAGTCCAACTTGTCGTCATGAAAATATATTTAAAAAATGACAAATTATTAAGAGGCACCAGTTTTCCACTAGGCTGATCTACATAGCAAGAATAACACAGTTTTGGAGTTCTGTCCATTTGTTTTCATCATGAAAAATCCCCCCCCCCCCCCCCCCCCCCCCATTTTATACGGGGTTATTTACCAATATTTGTTACAAATAAAATCTTACATAAACGGTCATAAAATGCAGGAAATGGAATTAAGAGCATCTAATTTTTGAAAATTTCTGTAGAGGCGAGGGGGCATGGGCGGGGTCGGTTGCTTCCTGCAAATGCCTAGATGCGCCCGTCTTCGATATTACCGATCTGCTAGACGTTGTCATTGTATGACAAATATATTTGCGACCTCTCCAAATTCCTATCGCCATTTCTAATAATGATGTCAACACAACACTGCAGACTTTACTGACATTCACAAAATAATAATGTTATCCCCGGCTTTGCCTAATTTTCGTAAACTGATTTCAGGATAGTCGACAGGTCCTAAATTTCAGGGAAATGTTTCCCAATGTTATTCATTGTCTGCTTCGAATGTCTATGGTGGTACCTTCTTGTAAATAATTCTTCTTTTCCCGTGCCTTTCTCTCAGAATGGATAATTTGATCAAATAAGTCATGAAGAGTTGCCGTCATGTCTGTGTGCAAAATCCACTTCTTACAGTCGTATTACGCGCCGTAAAATGTTCCAGGTGTAGATAATACTTCCCAAACAACAAATTCTTTCTGTGACTGAATCACACCCCTCTGTTGAATCAAAACAATCTTAATATCGACAAAATTCTTGTTTTAATTTGTATTAAATGTTTCGTAAATTTCGTTAAACTATTGCTGCATTTTGTTATATCTGGTAAAATATGAATTATGATAAAGTTAACACTAGCACCTTAAAATATTATTTTGGCACATATAGACTATAGCATAAGCCATAATAAATATTGTAAATACTATTACATATATGACGCTAGTATTAGTTGTATAAACTTTTTTAAACTACAGAAAAGTACACTTGGCATTTATCGACATAGTTAAATCTAATCATAACACATAATATATAGAGTAAGATCTAGATGGCCTCAGCCTGATAAAATATACTATTTAACTGTTAGGGTGCACGGGTGGTCCAGGCATATAAGGCGCCGCAATTCGCTGTGCACAGTTGCGTCCCTTGGACACGCCAGAAACTTATGATTGTGGGTTTGAATCCCGTTTCGCCCCGATTATGTTTCTCGGTTTGTCAGCACCATACCTGTGCGCGTGGGTTTCACCGAAGCGGTAACGTCTGAGACCTGCATCACTTCGGGCTTTCCTCCCACATTAAGCTGACACGCCGTGATGTAACTGGAATACTGTTAAAAGCGGCGTTAAACCCAACTCACTCACTTACTCTTAAACTGTTAATGAGATACTTGTTCATACACTTGTATCATGAATAAGAAAATATACCTTTTACATTTCTGTGCTTATTGTACATGTGGATATCATTATTGTATGGTCGAAATAAAGTACAATAAACTACGGTTATAACAAACTCGAAGGGACCACTAATGTTAGTTCGTAATAACTGTACTTCGTTATAAGCATGCAGCATTTATACAACAAATGGTCGGGACTAAAAAATAAGTTCGTTATATCGGTCAGTTTGTTATAAGCGTGTTCGTTATAAACGTAGTTTACTGTAACTCTATATTTTACTGGACTAAAAGTGCTACATAACATAACTCATCTCCCTAGATGTATAAAGTATTAACTAAATGGATTTACCCCATACAATGAAGTGTAGTGGTGGTGCTCTATATGGTGGACTATATGACCACTAACCAGAAGTTTGTGGCTAGCATAGTTAACACCGGGCAAAAGAAAGTACACACCCATGTTTGATGGTAGCTAAAAATAAACAAACAAGAAATGATTATTCCATGGGCAGATCCAGCATTTTTAAAAGGGAGGTTTTCAAAATATCGAAATCCTATCTCAGATATTCTTTCTTTCTTCAAGATACTACATTTGCTTGTTTTCAAAATGGGAGGTGTGTGTGTGTGGTGAGGGGTGGGGGTTGGGGGTTGGGGGTTGGGGGGTTTAATAATATATCAAAACACTATCTACAAACACACTGCTACATATGGTACAATATTATTATCTTTATTATACAGTTTGTAATATTAAAACGATTCTTCGCACAACATAGTTATATTTGTTGTTAGTTTTTCTCATAAGACGGGGTCCTGAATAACTTCTTTATGACTATACGTTGAGAAAATAGTATCCGTCATTCGGTTGTACCCGGCGTTGCATCGTCCACACTCGTCGTTTCCGTAATCCACATTCGGCTTATCCCGGAATGGGTCGTGTTGCATTCGTCCATTCGTGACCAACTCGTGTTATTCCGGGACAAGCCGAATAGCGGTTCAGGTTACGGAAAGGGCCGAGTGGTGACGAATGCCCTTTCCGTCATTGATACAGTGTTCGGCATTCTCCGTAAACAATCGATATGGTCCGTATAGTTTTCATATATGGAACAGGTAACCTTTAACCGTATGCAAATATACCATAGGAACCAATCAGATTGCTAATAACGTCATGTTTCCACGAATGGGTCTATTTATAGCTGCAGTTTCCTGGAAGCACGTTGTCAGCAATAACAACCCAAGATTACTGACTAACCTACTATAAATAGAACTTTTACGCATGCTGTCAAGGTTTAGTATATAAGGTAAGTCTTATTAGTCACAGTTACACAGGTATAAAGTCAGGCTTCACCATGGCAGAAGCAAACAGTCCGTCTACCTCTGATTGTGAAAACACCGAAGTTCCACAGGAAGATTCCACAACAATGGCTGAGACAAATTGTCCGACTGGCATGGACCGATTTCTGCAGAAAACCAGAAGGTAAGCACAGCTTAGCAATGTCACCTAGCTACCAATCATATTACTCATAAGACACCGCCCATACTGCGATTTATGTAAGTTCAATAAATATTTCTTTTTTCTAGCATTAGCACTACGAACGTAAATCGCAGAAATATATTGTCATTCTACAGAAAGTAGAAATACGGTGTTCCTGACTGAAACAAATACTGCAGTTTGTTAAATTTTATTGTTATATTTTTTTAATGCCTAAAGAAAGCCCCAAGCATTGAAACTCACTTTTATAATCATTGTAAATATATTTTGTCAAAAGCTATGAACACAATCGAAAGAATCCAGTTTTCTAGTGTCAACGCCCACTACTACCGTATTTCCTCTAATAGAAGCCGCGTCAATTGTTCAGTGCAAAAAATAGAAGCCGGGCCTCTAATAGATGCCGGGTCGAATTGATTGAGATATATCTACGGATATCAACGAACACAAAATATTTCCATTTCGTGACGATTCGGGACATTCGTGGTGATAGTGAAATGGGGGTATTAATAGAAGCCCTCTCTCTAATTGACGCCAGGTCAAAGGCTTGTCCGAAATAAATAGAAACCCGAGCGTCTGATACAGGAAATACGGTAAGTGCTATTGTTTATCACCGAGAGAGAGAAAAATAAAGTGGATTCATTTGTCCTTTAGCCCACAGCTTAAAGGGGAAGTGTACACGCAAAAATCACTTTCTTTCTTTTTCTAAACAAAACGCAATTTTAGAATTAGTTAGTATCTGTGTTTGAAAATATACGCTCATTTTTTTTCACAGTGAAAGTAGGAAGCTCACAATAGTGTTACAATGATATGTCGTTATCAGGCCTTCGTTTTACGAGCGAAATAGACCTGAGTTATCCCCCTTAGATTATGACGTAATTGGTGCCAATTCAACTTGGTCCCTGTCTATTCTCAACGCAAAAGATATCAAGGACCAGTTTGCGGTAAAACAACATGGTCTACGACACACTCCGGCGCAGTGGTGACTCAGCATAACACAATTCTGGCTGGCATCTGAGACGCTAGAATCACAAAACTGTACCTACACCACGTGAAGCGGCTCTAACAAAGCATGATGACGTCATAATGTTTATCAATTGGCACCAATGACGTCATATTGCAAGGGGCATAAGCCATGGTGTTTTTGTTATGGAAATAGAACACTTGGTAAATGTGAAAAATATAAATCGTTTTAATGCAAAAAATATGTTAATTAAATATGATGTTTTTATATTTTTGTCTATAAAACTTCTATGTTAAAACTTTTAATGTGGAAAAAGTACAAGAAAAATTGGTTCATTTCCGTGTGAACTTGCCCTTTAATAACATTTGACAGCAACAAAATTTCAGTTGTAATATGTAGAAGTAAATTATTTGGAAACAAGGAGTTAGAAACATTTTCACATATTATTTAGAAAAGGTGCATTCTGACTAAGCTTGTGAAGGCAGGTGCAGGCGATGATGACACTGTATAACAATGTAACTGAATTTGTAGCTTTTTATGATCAACCATCAGGTTTTGAATAATATCGTAATAATATCGTAAGCGGAGAAGTGATCATGCTTTCAACCACTGGTTTGCTTAGTCCAAATTTGATTATTTTAACACAAGCCACAAATGGTTTGGCATGAAGATTACTGACTTTGGTGGCAAATAACATTCACACTAGGGCTGGAACAAGTCCAAATTTGCTACCCGGGTACCCAACCCCCTATTACCCGACCCTCCTCGGGTACCAAATGTAGGTCTCAAGAGATACAAAATGTCCGATTGGGATTTTTTTTTACCACAGCACTTGCAAAACGTATTTAGATACATGTATTAAACGATCTGGTCATACATAAACTTAAGTTGACTTAAGTTATATCTTTATTCAATCATATGAAAAGTCAGAATGAATTGGTGCATAGTCAGAAAGAAATGTGAACATTAGTGACTTGTAGTATAACCATTGAGTTCTAGATAATTTTTGTCATTAAACAATATATCACATGACTAACCACGGGTTCGGGTAGTCCTGTGGGTACCCGGGTCCAACTCAGTACCAACCCGAACGGGTACCCAAGTTACCTGTTCCCAGCCCTAATTCACACTGTCTGCACCATACTGGGTGTTGTTAGTGTCAAACAAACCTCACTCACTACATGTATATATTTTGTGAATCATCTGATTACAGCGACCTCATGTACGAGCTCAGACAGATTCAACATGGAGAGCGCCCAGTCAGTGGCCAGAATCGGCGAGAAAACATCAACCAGTTTTTCGCCAAGCACCTTGAGGCACCTGCTGGGAGTGAAGGGAAAGAAAACGTCCCCGCCAATGTTGACGCTGTTGAAGAGCACAGACCAGAGTCAGTCGTCGTTGAAGTTGAGGGTTTGTTCGAACAACGGCGCGTGTCGTCAGTGTTGCAGTCAACAGCATTCAGGCGATCTTTGGAAAGAATAATTCGAGGGAGCATCACAACAGCATCCCAAAGACCCCAAGCCACCCCATCTCGTTCTGCCACCCCCTCTCGTTCTGCCACCCCCTCTCATCTCCCCCCACATCGTAGAACAAGCAGGGGACAAGAACAGAGTTCAGAGAACGGTCCATCTACAGCATCTACAGATCAGGATTCAAGAGGTGAGAATATTATTACCTTAGGTAGCGAAGAACCCAAACAGGTAGTTAAATGGCATCGGTTTTTCTGTCATGATAACTATCAATAAATGAAAGAAAACCGTGGCAACCAGACCTAAAAGTGTCACTGTTGTTATCATGTGGTAAGATGGCAAGCTGTTAAAAAGTTATCATTTATTCTTTATTTTCACATGTTTTAGATGCAATTTTTCTTAATAACTTAAAATGAACATACAAATAAATGTACAGGTTTGAAAAATTCCAGAATACCTGCATTGCAAAGGAGAAGTGAATAAAGTCAGACTTTAGAAATTTGTCCAAGCAAGAAATAACTTTGCACTACAATATATATTGAGTGAACTTTTATCTCAGTTTGTGCAACGTTTTGTTGGCAGAAATATCTGATTTCATGTAACCAAGGTAACAAATAGCTGCACTTTTCACTTGCATGTTTTACCTGGTGCTTGAGACTGCCATCAACAATTTTAAATCTGATTGTTTATTATTGAATTGTTTACATTTTAGTTCCATCACCTCCCGAGATGAGGCTTACACCCCCCGCTGCCTCACCAACCAGCCAGCCGACGGGGTACGTTCATAATAACATCAGTCAAATTTCACAAATATATGGCAATGAGTGTCTGTTCCAGTGTCAGTTAGAGCAGTCAGTTTTAGTTTGAATCCGTAGCAGGAAAACCATTGGCCAGTAGATTCAGCTGCATACTCCAGCATGTCATGACACAGTAGATCATGGTTGTCCAACCACTGAAGCCATTGTTACCAATCAATAAACATTTTGTCATCATTTAAGGCTCTAAAATCCAAATACTCTTTGGGCTAAAAAGAAAATAGTCTTGGTTCTCAGGCACCGCCCCCATCATCATAAAGTCTGTCACACATTTTCTTCTTATTTCCATTTTCAACAAAAAATTTTTTTGTAAAAATATTTATCGTCTCAAACACACGACCTTCTTGGCAGTGAAATGCTACAATACTTAAGAACAACATGATTTCCCTGAAATTTTTGTCAACAAAGTTTAGTTACATCCTAGCTTGAACAACAACAAAAAGAAACCACTGCCCACCCACACAATATTTTCAAAAGCCATTGCCTGAAAACTAATTCTTTTATTTTTTAAAGCCTTGGTATTATTTATATCATCATTATTGACGACAAACAATTAAAAGCTTTCACTGAATTATTATTATCATTATTATTATTATTATTATTATTATTATTATTTGTGTAATTTATTGTTGTTGGTATTATTATTATGATGATGATTATTATTAGTGTAATTTATTGTTGTTGTTGTTATTATTATTATGATGATGATTATTATAAGTGTAATTTATTGTTGTTGTTGTTGTTATTATTATTATTATTATTATTATTATTGCAGCATTGTTGCTCCTAATGAGATGCCCACATGGCAGAGTATCTCGGAGATCCATCATGAAGAGATCGTCCAGGAGATCAGTCAGCTCCTTCATAGACGACTTGTGTCCTCGACACTGGATGGGGAGTTCCGTGGAACTCTGGAAGTGCAAATGCAGGTGAGTGGTGCTCTGCTCAACCCTCCTCGGCGTGTGCAGAGGTCGGGGGCTATTTCCACAGTTCCAAGGTACAAACATCAATCAGCAGAACACCATCAAACAGGTGCAGATCTGAACTAATGAATTTCAGCAGTTTTTGTTTATGATCTTGTGGTTTGAAGCAGTTGTGCTCATGGCCTGTATCTCATGTTGACAGAACCACGTGGATTCATCGGGAGGAAATGGGGAGGCCGTGGCCCAGGCCGTCCGCAGTCTGCCCAACCCCGGTGTCATCCGCAATGACTTCAGCCATCTTGGTCTTGGGCAGGATTTGTTTGAGGACAACATTTCCGTCACCAGCATCAGTGCCACGGCTGTTCCATACACACAGGTAAGTGTCTGGGACAGTCTTTGTCGTTACTTGTCATAGAACCTAGCTATCTGATTGGCCAGTCGTGCTCGTGTATAAACCTATACAAGCCAGATAGCCGGCCTGCTGACCCCTCACCCAAAATACGACTCAGTATGATTGCGACTTCCCCCATCCCCATGCCCAGTGGGAAAAAAAGATTACAGTCCACGGGGTCGTGAGAATATCAGTTTTATTCAGCAAGGCATAAAGAAAACTCGCCTTAAACAATTTAAAATCACAATATATCACTTGTTCAGACTAAATGCACAATAACACAATAACACATTAAATGTAAAGTATCAATCTGCTTAGATTAATACATCTTCCCGAGGCAAGAGAGTTAACTGACTTTAAAAGTCCAGTTTCCACCCTTGCCGAACTAGGCTAGAATTCCTGGGCTCGATTGTAGCGCCACCAGTGGCTATTACCAGTTATGTCCCTTCTAAGCCTCTCCTATGGACCAATCAGGTTCCACCTCTCATATCACTTGCGTTTGCTTCACACAAAATGGTGGCGCCCTGTCAGGACGATCTGATTGATAATCAAGATCTATATTGTGATAAAACGGGTCTTACTTTGCAAAATGCATCAAATCACGTGAGCACCGTGATTAAAAACATGAAAAGATTTGGAAAATATCTGCTGACAACGAGTTGGAGGTGCACATGCTTTGCAAATCCTGCAATTGATCGAAATCTGCACGACAGTTGACGAACCGGATTTCAATTTCGGTGAGCGATTTTGATTGGACTATGCATAGACTCATTAGTCCAACCAAACTGTAACTCCATAATACCAGCGTAGTTCGGGAAAAAGGGTGGAAATTGGACTTTTATAGTCAGTTAACTCTCTTGCCTCGGGAAGATGAAATTAATAATGGCAGGTGAGAAAGGGATTTGAATTTAAAGATATACTAATTGGCTAACAACAGGTAAAACTAATGATTAGCAAACAATAGAACAAAACACCCTTGGAAGTAACATAGACTGGACCATTGACCTTTGACCCTATAGGAACCTATCTGTAGCAAAGCTGAAATAGAATAAAAGTGATACCTTATCTACACTAAAAATACTTACATATTTACAAGCTGGAGAATTAACACCTCCTACATTAGCATACTGAGAGTCTGATGGAGGTTGCAAAATAGACCTGACGTTACACACAAATACAAATCTTCGTAATGATAAATCTTTCCATTCAGCTCGTAAAGTCAGTCCTCTATTAACACATGTAAGTCTCTTCATACACACATACCGCCATCATATAGCTGGAATATTGTCGAGTGCGGTGTTAAACAACAAACATAGCCATACACACAGGTAAGTGGCCTCACTGGAAGATTGTTTCCCTTCGCCATTTTTTTGTCAATTATCTTAATAACCTTGGTGATTAACATTTAAATTGTTTTGTTTTTGTTGTTGTTTTTTGTTTGTTTTTTGTTTGTTTTGTTTTTTGGGGGGCATCATTATGCTTTCATGTTCAAAGTTTCTTTCTAAAGTCAGTATTTTGAATTTTATTTTATTTTGAAGTTTAGAGGTTTTCTTAAACCTGATATTACCAGTAACTGAAAACTGTTGAACTCAACTCACTCATCATTATTTATTAGAATATCATACAGTTTGCAAATTCATTAACATTGGGGCATGGTCCAAGAAAGAGTTAAGAGTTATCTCCCTTGATGAGTTTTCCCTGTGCTAGATAGTGGGTGAGTGGGTATGGTTTGAGACTGTTTTCTGCAATATCACAACAGAGGACACCAGAAATAGGCTTCCCACATCGTGGGGAATCAAACATGAGCCTATGGTGTGACAAGTGAACACCTTTACCACTGGGCTACTCCACTGCCCCTGATTCGTTAATATGGTTAACTAGACGTAACATCAAACATTATTCAGAGTTTAGATACAGAAACATGCTGTGGAAAGTTGGTACCAGAACAGAACTACTATATGGTCCATTGCCTGGTGCCTGCTTCCAGTATAGACCACACGTTTTAGTGCCTTGTGTGAATCTGACACATTTTCATATACACCTGCCAACAAATTCTCCACACATGATACGACATAATAATAATAATAATAGTAATAATAATAATAATAATAATAATAATAAAAAATAACAATAAAAATAAATAAATAGTTAATAATAATAATAATTTTTTTTTTTTAAAGAATAATAATAATAATAAGTCGGCAGATAAACAAAGGGTTTTTCGAATGGCCTGATTCAAACTCATAAGCCCTGCAAATCTCTGAGGGATGTTTGCAAGCATAGTCATACATCATGTTTTTAACCAGTGTAATATTCACCAAAGTAAGTCAGTAATGCTGACATATTTTTAACAATATATTCCCATTTCCAGAGCAACCTACATCTAAGCAGAGAGATCTCAAGTCTCAAGTCTCAGATGGAGGAGATGAAAAACATGCTGAAACTCTCCTTTGACCTTCAACTTGACATACAGAGGGCAATCAGACAGGAAGTCGCTGCTGCTGTATCCCAGGCAACAGGTAAATACTTGTAGAATATACTGTTTTAGTACAACTATTTATACAGGTGAATGATGAGGTATGTGACTTATAATGATCATGGAAGTCAAATTGCTTTGTTGATTATTCAGTGAAAATCAAAATGAAATACTGATCCGATTTCAAATGTAATGTTTATTTCAAGATGTTTCTTTTTTTAAATGAACCTCAAATTAACCTAATTTTGTTATTTTACCTCTTCCATGAGTTATTTGATGAACAAAACCTGTTGAACAAGAAATTGTTTGTCTTGCGTTAACATTATTATGATCATCATTGTTATTATTATCATCATTGTTATTATGATCATTGTCATTTATGATCATCATTATGATCATCATTGTCATGATCATCATTGTTATTATGATCATTGTCATTATGATCATCATTATGATCATCATTGTCATGATCATCATTGTTATTATCATTGTCATTATGATCATTATTATGATCATCATTGTCATTATGATCATTATTATGATCATCATTGTCATTATGATCATTATTATGATCATCATTGTTATTATTATCATCATTGTTATTATTATCATCATTGTTATTATGATCATTGTCATTATGATCATTATTATGATCATCATTGTTATTATGATCATTGTCATTATGATCATCATTGTTATTATTATCATCATTGTTATTATGATCATTGTCATTATGATCATTATTATGATCATCATTGTTATTATGATCATTGTCATTATGATCATCATTGTTATTATGATCATTGTCATTATGATCATCATTGTTATTATTATCATCATTGTTATTATGATCATTGTCATTATGATCATCATTATGATCATCATTGTTATTATCATCATCATTGTTTCCCTTTCAGCAGGAGCTACAGCTGCCCCCCCTGCAACAGCCACACTGTCCCACCCCGTCAGTGACACCCACTGTTTGATCTGCCTGGAGAACCACAGCGATACTGTACTCTACCAGTGTGGACACATGTGCCTGTGTTACGCCTGTGGTAAACATCTGATGTCCCAGAGCGGCAAGTGCCCCGTGTGCCGAGCACCAATCAAAGACATCATCCGCGCTTACAAGTGCAACACTGAGTGAAACTGACGTTCTTTTTTACTGGAACCTTGTCAAGCGAACATTTCAGAATACAGAATATCGCTGTTTGAACAAATATTTAGCCCACCTGAGCTAATGACATGGCATATCATCGATTTTTAACTTGCGTAAAGCTTACGATACCCAAACTTAAATTGGATGATTCAAATATGGTGGCTACCTAATTCTGATTCAAGTTAAGACATGACCAGTCTTTTGTTGCCTAGTCTGGTTAACAGCTTGTCCACATACTCCAACTAAATTTCCTTTTGTTGCATGATTCATGTTGCTTTTAAGCTCATATTCACTGGATACATTTTCTTTTGTAAATACTCACCCCAGTCAATTCATCAACAAGATCATCAAAGAATTACCTTCATCAAGTTTTGAAGATCAGATGGTAACAGAATCCCAGTACATGCTGTTGGTCTTGACTGTGTTGGTCTTAGCAGGTCAGATAACCCCTGACTGTGTTGGTCTTATCAGGTCAGATAACCCCTGACTGTGTTGGTCTTATCAGGTCAGATAACCCCTGACTGTGTTGGTCTTATCAGGTCAGATAACCCCTGACTGTGTTGGTCTTATCAGGTCAGATAACCCCTGACTGTGTTGGTCTTATCAGGTCAGATAACCCCTGACTGTGTTGGTCTTATCAGGTCAGATAACCCCTGACTGTGTTGGTCTTATCAGGTCATAACCCCTGACTGTGTTGGTCTTAGCAGGTCAGATAACCCCTGACTGTGTTGGTCTTATCAGGTCAGATAACCCCTGACTGTGTTGGTCTTAGCAGGTCAGATAACCCCTGACTGTGTTGGTCTTATCAGGTCAGATAACCCCTGACTGTGTTGGTCTTAGCAGGTCAGATAACCCCTGACTGTGTTGGTCTTAGCAGGTCAGATAACCCCTGACTGTGTTGGTCTTAGCAGGTCCAGATAACCCCTGACAGTGTTGGTCATTGTCCATGCTTTCAGACACTAGTTTTCCTGGTCGGGACACTTTTTTATATTCGGCAATCATATAGCTCGGACAGTGCTGCCTGGTGATATAGTACATTAACTCACTCACTCTACTATAGCTCAACCAAGTGCAGACCAGCAGGTCAGTGTTTAAAATGGTGATATTCTGCTGCTCAAGTCAAGAGATAGCTGGCTATCGTGACATTTTTGTAAATAATCACACAAGTTGTCATTTATTTGTTTTATGTATATATATGTACATTTATATTTCTCACAATAAAGTCACATTCTATAAGTCTCTTTACATATTCGGGCTATCAGAGACCCTCTGGGTTCATGAAGTTGGTCGTTACATTTCCAAGTTGGGTTGCACTTGGCTGCACAGAGTTGCCTCCCTTATGACAACATCCTTTGATCCTGGTTTGAATCCCTGATTGAAACCTCATTATCTTACTTGCTTTGGCAGCACCATGACAATGATCGTGGGTTTCAGTAAAATGGAAAAGTCTAAGATAAACTAAACCTAAACTAAACACATCTAAATTCGCTGATGATGGAGCCCTCTGGATCCGCACAAAAACCATTAAAATGGCCCAAAACCTACTTAAAAAATCTCTAAACAAAATACAGCAATGGGCTGACAAATGGGGCTTCTCCCTTAACTCGGAAAAAACTACAGGAATAGTATTTAAACACAATAACATGAAACCCGCCTCCCCAAAACTCCAGCTAAACAACAAACCAATCCAATTCCTAAAACAAACCAAATTCTTAGGACTAATTTTCGATAAACATCTCTCCTGGGACGCTCACATAAATAATCTAATAACTAAATGTAGCAAAGATCTAAGATGCCTAACTGGCTGAAACTGGGGGGCCTCCAAAGACACCATCCTCTCACTCTATATATCACTAATTAGATCTAAAATAGACTACGGATGTGATATATACGACACCCTAAACCAATCCCCTAGCAAAAAACTAGACTCAATCCAATATCAGGCTCTAAAACTAATAACACGCACTCAACATGGCACCTCCTACACTTCACTCCAGGCCTTAACAGGAGAAATGCCACTAAATCTACGTAGGGAACAATTAACCCTAAATTTCTGGGCCGCGTCTCAATCCAACCCCCTAATCCAAAACCTAATAAACAAAAATATCAGCCCCAAAAACCAATCCCTAGCTCGAAAACACCCTCTACTTACTCCAATATCCCAAAGAATAACCAATTACTTAAATGAACACCAAATAAACAATCTTAAACAAAACTGTAAAAAATCAAATATCGTCACCCCAAAACTTAAAACACCCAAAATAGACATAACACTAGCTAGCACAATAAATAAACAAACCGACCCAAACATAGCAAAAACCACCACACTAGCATACATACATGAAAATTGGCCAAATTGGTGTCACATTTACACAGACGGATTCTCAGATCCGACCTCCAAACACACAGGTTTCGGAGTCCACATCACACAACCAACTAAAGCCACACAATCCTACCGACTCCCAAACAATCAATCAATATTCACGGCCGAACTAATGGGCATGGCCTCAGCCCTTCAACAATCTAAAAAACAACAAAAAATCCTATTACTTACCGACTCGCTCAGTGGACTACAAGCCCTCCAAAATAAAAACACCCCAAACCACCCTGAACTAATAAATCAAATACTAAAAAGCTCAAACGATTTAACTAAGGCAGGCAAACAAATAGTATTCATTTGGATCCCCGCCCACGTAGGAATATACGGCAATGAAAACGCCGATAAAGCAGCTAACCTATCCCTTAAAATCCCAGAAATAAGCTTAAACCTACCCATCTACAAATCAGAAATTAAAAGAGTCAACAAACAAAAAATCACCAAAAAATGGCATAACCTATATCAAACTCAAATAGCTAAATCAAAAAGGTTCTAAAAAAAACCCTGACCAAACCAAAAATTCTACATCAGTCCAAAAAAATCGACAGAGTAATTACTAAACTCCAAACAGGACATACCAACCTAAATAACCACCTCAAAATAATAAGAAAACACGCTACAGGAACCTGCCCACATTGCAAACAACAAGAAACCCCAGAACACGCACTCATACACTGCACCCACTACCTAACACACCGAACTACAATACAAACCACCCTAAATCTAAATAAGGCTCTTACTCTAGAAGCAATCCTAAACCCACAAAATAAAATAGAAAAATTCAAAGCCTTAGGCGTTTACTTAATCAAAACAGGACTAATAAATCGCATTTAAAACCCCAATAAACTACCAAAACCAAACCACATAATCAAACTAACAAACTTCCATACTCAGGTCCCTTAGTTCGCCCCCAAAACCCTCTTGGCATTTTTTCCAAATCTCAAAATTTCCAAAATTTTATATAACCAACCACTAAAACACCCCTACTGGATTGCCAAACAACTTTTTCCCCTTTTCGGAAACACATTAAATGCCTTGGCCGGGTCCGTGTGCGAAATATGCTGCAGTCGGAAAGCGCACGTAAAATCTCCAGTATAAGTAAGTAAGTTTAAAAGAATAAAGTAAAGTAAAAAACACCATACTAGGGACCATGGGGACTTACAGTACCTTTGCTTCCTGCATGGACCCCAGTAGGATTCATATCATCCCTTCAGTCACTGGCGATAGTTTACGAGTTAAGCCAAAGAATAAACTGACGAATATACTACGTTTAAAAGTCTTGCATGCATACAAATACTTCGAATGATGTGGAACTTACATACCCTTTTAGGGGGATAAAATTTCAAGCGACTTCAAACCCCCACGAGGATGCAGCCATGAACAATCTAAGGACTACCATTATATAAAATAACACACTTTGTAAAACTTCATGAAATTATTCTATTTCGATAAAAAACACAATATTAAATAAGTATATACATGTCTAAAAAGATCCTTGACTGAAATATTTCTCCCTTGTGATGGTAATATAAGAATTTACATGTCTAAAAAGATCCTTGACTGAAATATTTCTCCCTTGTGATGGAAATATAAGAATTTACATGTCTAAAATGATCCTTGACTGAAATATTTCTCCCTTGTGATGGAAATATAAGAATTTACATGTCTAAAAAGATCCTTGACTGAAATATTTCTCCCTTGTGATTGAAATATAAGAATTTACATGTCTAAAAAGATCCTTGACTGAAATGTTTCTCCCTTGTGATGGACATATCAATACAGTGAAGCAGGACATGCTTGACCGTGATTCTTTCATCACAAGGCATTCAAAACGGAGGATCCTCACCTTTCAATAAATATCCATTGGTATATCTGCTGTGGCAAATACGACATCGTCGCATAACGACCTCTTCAGCCGATATTTGGTTTAATGTTATGTAATTCGTTGATACCTACATGCGCCCCGCATCTTTTGCATCAGAACATCTAATTACAGGTTTATAAATACTGTATGGTATAAGAAGTCACATCATATGTGTCGGCCATCATGTTACCAATGACACCAACATGGCTGGGTAACCAACAAAAGATGATGTCATATTGACCAGTAGCAAGATCATTACATAATTCAAGAAATTGGATTAAAAGCGAATGCTAAATGACATATTTTAAAGAGAATCTGAAAATAATAATGAATTTTTCATATATTTTAGAGCTGTGAAAATGGCGTTTGCTTCTGCTGTGATTATTGAACTGTTATCTGGCAATCGTGATATTAGCAACTTCGCCACCATCCTTGGATCTATCTGTAATTGTAGATTTATATGTGTCATATGTGTTTTGTCATTATTTGTATTCTTGATTGTGTCTGATTTCATATGTTCAGTTAATGATAGGTCGACATTTGACCTTACCATTTGCCAAGGTGGCGATGAAAATAGTTGAGTGGGAGCTATATGTTGCAGTTTAATATATTATAATCAGAAATGGCAGATTTGATTCTGATTCTGAGTCGTGGAACAAGAGATGATTTCTTTTTGTAAATATTAAATACGCAATTAAAAGCTGGATGTGAAGATTAGGATATAATTTGGTGACGGCATTGTACAAGAGAAGGTTCATCCGCTTCTACATACAGATCAAAGATGAGTCCCCAGAATTTGGCCTCATTTACAACTTTGATAGGGGTGCCATTCAAAAATAATTCAGGTTCTTTATATTGCTTATATCTTCTGCAGAAAAATATGCACTTAGGTTTTGATTTAGAAAATTTAGACCAGTGAGGCCACTTGTGAATTTTGTTTAGACAGATTTGTAACTGCCTCTCTATTTTATGCATTTTTTTACCACGAAAAGAAATATTAAATTCATCAACGAAGAGTGATCCATCTATTGCATCACTTAAAACCTTGGAAAGACTATTTATCTTAATACTAAACAATGTGACAGAAAAAAAAATGTCTTCGGGACACCCCGAGCCTAATTATAATGATCAGAAAGGGTTGAACCCACTCAGACTTTAAATTGGGTGTCTCAAGCCAAAATCATGGAAATCCTTTAAAATGCCATGCACCCAGGTTGTATCGGATCCTTTCCCAAAGTCAGAGAAAACTTATACAACGTGTTGTTCATTTATTATGGCATTATTAACAAAGGATTCTAGTTGTACTAAATGATCAATGGTACTTCTGTGTTTCCAGAAGTCACATTGAATATTTGTAAGAAGATTATTGGTTTCCAGATACCAATCTACTGTTTACCGTTCGCTCCATGATTTTGCAAACGCAACTTGTTGAAGTTATAGAGTGGTAATATTGAGGGAGTTGTATGATCCCGGCCAGGTTTTGGTATGGGGACTACAATTGGATTATGCCACGAATGAGGAAAATTACCTGAAGTCCATATTTGGTAGAAAATGTGTTATAGTGTCTCAAGACATGATTCGGGCAAATGCTTCAATAACCGATAGTGGATATTATCATCCCCTGCTGCAGTATCATGAGCGGTATATAGTTCATGCAATGAAAATACTTCATTGTAATCTTCATCGTTATTAGAAGCAACATTTACTTTTTTTCTCTGCCTGCTGTTTCTGATATCTCTGATACACAGGAACATAATTTGATGATGAAGAATTTGTGGCAAGAGTTTCACCAAGTTTATTTGTAATGTCACATTTATCAGTCATAATTGGCAATGCTCAATAGTATAGTTTCATTACAAAATAAAGTCCATACCTTATGACCTTTGGTAATAAATGTATAACGTATTACTATGTGTCCATGTTAATTGTTAATACAGAAACAAAATAGTGTATGAAATAATTTTAAATTAATTTTTTAACAATAATTCATGAACA